CAGGGCACTAAGGTAATGAACTGCCCAGACATGAAGAAATTCCATGTTATTACTAAGACGAGGAAGAGGTTGTATGTGCCCATGCCCATTGCTCTGCAGTAAACTCCTTTTTATACAGAGCTGCATCATCCAATAAATACAGTGATTTAAATTTAAATTTAAATTAATCAAAATTAAAAATTTAGTTCCTTAGCCACACCAGCCACAATTCAAGTGTTCAATAGCTACACGCAGCTCCAGATAGGTGAGCAAACAACATTTCCATCATTGCAGAAAGTTCTTTTACACAGCGCTACTCTTGTGAGCTTGAACAATGACAAGTTTTATAACCATAAAGTTGCCATACCTACTGCTCATCTAGAACACCGGTTTTCTAAGCATTACAATACAATAAAACACACCTTTGCACTATTACTATGTTGGACATCATTTAATCATTTAAAGTCATTTGGAAGATGTGGGAGAAGAACATGTGAATGGAGGGAGATTGTGCTCTAACTTTTGTGTGCATATAAGTGAGCCATGGTCCTTAAAACACTGATTCCCAGGCCCTGGGGAATACTGATTCAGCGAGTCTGTGCCAGGGCCCCATAATTCCAATGTAAGGAACGTGCTTACCCAGAGCCACTGCTGTGAGCACGTAGGTTACATTCACCTACCCTATATCCTCCATAAGGGGAGAAAGTTTGGCTTTGCTATTCTCTGCTCCTTCTCCAGCCCTTAGCATGGAAACTGGCATGTTCTAGGTGCTTGTTTTATTAGTTCTTCACCTCTCTAAGGAGATCAGAGAGGACAGTCCTACCAGACTCCTCCCAGCTACATGGATTTAAGTGTGGGAGCCCTGCCTATGAGACACAAGGTGGGGAACGATACAGGGCAGGGAAACCATGTTACCATCCTTGGCGCATGGTACTGTCCAGAAAGACACAGGAGCTGTGCAGGCAAGTGGAGAAGGCCACTGGGAGAATGGCCTCGTCCACCTATCAGACCCCAATGGGTCTGAGTGCTTTTGTATCAGGCTTAACTATTCGTTCACTCAACAGAAAATAAATATAGGTAGATTTTTTGACTGTCCTACCTCTCTTCTCTGCCCCACAGAACTCCTGGAGGCCTGCACTTTCCACAGATCTTAAAATCCAAAAGGTGGAGCCATACCAGATGGAGAAGGGAGCTCTCGTGACCCATAAGCTTCCCTCTGGGTCTCGCTGGTCTGAGTGGTTTGTTTGGTTTCACAGTTTGGCGGTGGTACCTCTGTAGAATATAAAATAAAAATTATTATTGGTGTTATCTTTTAAACACTTCATTGTTTTCTAAATGTTTGGCCTGGAAGGATTTTTTTTAATACTATCTGACTAATACATGTGCACTGAGCCCTTCCTTCAGAGCTCAATGTTCATCTGACCCCTTCCACAGCTTTGGCTGTGGTGCCATAGCCATGCCTCCTAGGTACAGTTCAAGTAGAAATTCTTTCTGAAAGGGGTCTGCATGGTTATTATAATAGAATCAAGTGTATGTGGCTGGGTTGTGTGTGTGTGTGTGTGTTGCAAGGGAGGGGGCAGGAAGGAGGATGCTGAGTGAGATATTGAGATGGAGTGTTCAAGGGAGTACAGAAAAAGAATATAGAGCAGGAGAGGATCAGCTGTCCTACCTCTCTTCTCTGCCCCACAGAACTTCCTGGAGGCCTGCACTTTCCACAGATCTTAAAATCCAAAAGGTGGAGCCATACCAGATGGAGAAGGCTATACTTGAATCAGGTCCTGATTCTAGTGGGTCGGAAAAGTGAACCACTGGAACATCTGAAAATTATCGCTTGACCCTGATTCCCACAGTAATCCCTGTCCTATCTCCTCACTCTTTCCACGCCTCACTTATTAATGGTTGAAAACACACAAACCAGTCTTTTGCTCCACTCACTTCCCTGCAGCTACCCTGGCCAAGGTCACTGCCCATCTGTCAACTATGAAAACCAATTTTAATTCTTTCAATCCTGAGTCTGTTAACTGCACTTGATATGGCTGACCACTCACCAATCATGTGACTGGTGTCCCTGAGTCTGAGATCGTTTCCACCATGCTTTGGAGCTACTGGGAATAGAAGACGGGAAAATGTGTCTGGTGAATGAGACATTTTAATTAATGGAAAAAAGGGAAAAATTGTGTCACTATATTTATTTCATTGTAACTCTCCATTTGCTATTTGAATGAAGAAGCACAACACTTTCAGCAAGCAGTAGTCAGTATCTGCCTGTCCTTCCTCTGGGTTCATCTCCACACACCTCCTGGAAGTGTGTGTTGGTGCAGATGTGAGAGGACAAGAAAGCAGCTGATCCTCTCCTGCTCTCATTCTTGAGAATGGCACCACCTTCCCACATTTCTTCTGTGTACATTTCTTCTGTCTTTACCCAGGAAACATACTGAAAACAAAAAGTCTGTGTCTTGTTAAAACTGTCTTCCTTTCATCATTCCCAAACTTCACCACCTAGGCAGAACTTTCTCATTCACATAGCTCTGACTAAAAATTCTTACACGGTTGGGACAGTCATGGTAGGTGTTCTCCCATTTGGCCCTTCCTCCTTCCCTGCACTTTTAGCTCCTAGCAGAGGAATCAATGGTTATTATAAAGGAGCTCTGTGTGTGTGTGTGTCTGTGTGTGTGTGTGCATGTACACGGTGGGTGGTGGATACAAAGCAGGGGTGGTGTGGGGTACAATAAGAAAGAAAGAAAAAGAGAATATGGTAAAATTACTGTCATTTCTGATAGTTTTAATTGATAATGCTAATTTAAAATAAAATAGTTGGTTTACTTTTTATAACCTCACATCCTAAACATCCTTTCTTAATCTGGAGTCCCTATTTGCCTACATTTATCAATGAAATGCCTGGAGAATGAATTGTACTACGTTAGAGCATAGAGTTAAGCATAAAGAAGACCACTGCCTGGGCTTAATGGATAAGTTACTTAACCCCTGCCTCATTTGCCTCTGTAAAATTGGAATAATGGGTTGCTGTGAGGATTAAGCAAATAAACAAATTAAAATGATTTAAAACAGTGCCTGGAATAGCAAACACTCATTAATGGCAGCAATTTTCATCATTATCCATCCTCTTCTCCATCTACCAGTCTTGCTTCCATACCCATGCCCCTACCCCCCCCCTCACCTCACTGTTCCCTCTGAGTTCACTTTTCATTCAAGCCCTCATCACAGGAGCCCCTCTGTTACAAGAGATGCTGCTGACCACTTCCAGGACATGTCTAACTCCTGTGTCACTGACTCTTCCTTCTTAGGCATATTTGTGGGTTTCTTTCTCCTCACTTTTCTTTCTGTCCCTGATTTTAATGACCATTTATTTATGCCTGAAACTCAGATGAAAATATAGCATTGCTGAAACTTTACATCTGTTTATTCTATCAACTGCTTAATATAAGATTTTAGAACTCCCAGAGGCACCTGAAACTCAATATATAGAAAAGAGAGGCAATTTTCATTTGGTTATGCCCTCAGCCCCAAAGTCCCTCTCTAATTCACTTTATGCACTCTGATCTTTTCAGTACCCCACACCAACTGCTTCAGATGCAGTTTTGGTAACTCTCCATCTTAGCATACCCAATTAATCACCACATCCTATATATTTTCCTTCTCCACATCTTTCAAATCTGTGGCCTCCTTTCCGCACCTACCTCTACTCCTGGTTCAGACCCTGTGCATCTTTTACCAAAACACTGCAACAGCTCCCAGCTGGTCTCTCTGCCTCAGTCTTTTCCTCTCTCCAATCACCGTTCTCCATTTAACTGCCAGTCATCTATGTTACCCCCAACTGAAACTCCTTATCTCATTCTGGATGAAGTCTAGGTTCCTCAGCATAGCACACAATCCCTTCAGGTCGTACCTGCCAACCTTTCCTGCTTCATCTCCTGCCACTTCTGCTGAAATGACATCAGCTTAGGGACTGCAAACTGACAGCCCCTAAGTGGGCCACTTCCGGCCCCCTAAGGTGTTTTATTTTATTTCTTTTTAAAGATTTTATTTATTTGACAGAGACAGACACAACGAAAGACGGAACACAAGCGGCGGGGGGGGGAGGGAGAAGCAGACTCCCCGCTGAGCAGGGAGCCCAACGTGGGGCTCCATCTCAGGACCCTGGGATCATGACCTGAGCGGAAGGCAGACGCTTAACGACTGAGCCACCCAGGTGCCCCACTGAGGTGTTTTATTTGGGCGACAAGTTTTTTTTTTGTTTTTAATGTTTTTCATTACTTGCTGAAATTTGAAAAGTGGAGCATTTCCCTTTCCGGCGTCTCTGCAAAAGCTGGAAGCACGGGCCACTTTGCTCCCACGTGCCTGCCTGGCAGAGTAGAGGCTGTCCACTCTGAGCAGGAATGACTGCTGCAGTTTTCAACAGCTTCACCCCCACGCACTGATTTTCCTAGCTGCTTCCCACAATGTCGAAATCTCAGTTGCATCCCTAGATTTACCGTACAAGGACACTGAATTGCTCGTTTTCTTCTACACAGAATACTCTTTTTCCTTTTACACCTGCAGAGGCTGACCCATCCCTCATGGCTCAGTTCCCGTCACTTTCCTCCAGGAGCTTTTCTCTGAACCAATAAAGGACTAGGAGTCCCTTTCTGTATTCCTATATCGCACCGTAATCCTCGGTCACATCCAATGCCATATTATACTCAGATGAAATGTTTGTGCAAGGCTTGAGCTCCTCACGAAACTCACCTCGCGAACGGAGTGACTGGAAATCCTCATTGAAGATTTCTTAAGCCATTCATTTTATTCATCCATCATTCCGTCAACACCCATGAAGAGGGCGGCGATATTTAACTCATATCTTAAGGGATAAGAGTGTCACTCGTGAAATACCGCGAAACGCCGCTCGTTCGGCGCAGTGTGCAAGAGAACTGCAACTCCCATCAGGACCTTCGGGACCCCGGCCCCTGAAGGAGGAAATATAACTTAGGAACTACCACTCCCGTGATGCTCCGCTTCGGACGCCTGCGCAGAGTCCAGGGCCACGTCGCTTTCGCGGCGCTGGAGACGCCGCATCTTAGTCATGGCTTCCGCGGATTCCCGGCGGATGGCGAATGGCGGCAGTGTCGGCGGAGCCTTCCAGCCCCATCTAGACTCCTTGCGGCAGGAGCTGCAGCAGGGGGACCCAACACTGCTGTCAGCCGTGGCGGCGCTTCTCGCGGTGCTGCTGACGCTGGGTAAAGAGGCGGCGGGGTTCTGGGCTTGGACTGGGCTTGTGCAGACCGCGGACGCGGGGCGGCGAAGGCACCTGGGGAGCATCTAGAGACGGAGACTCACCTCATATACAAACCTGCCTTGCTGCCTGAAACAGCGGGAGTAGCGCTGCATTAAAGAGGATCCCCTGCGACCCTTGGAGTGACGTCCTGGTCCTTGGGGGCGCGGGTTACTCTTCCCTTATCGGCCCCTGTAAGCGCGCAGTCCCCCCGCCCCCTCTTCTTTGCTTTCACTACCAAGACTCACGCGGTCTTTACTCCCAAATTTGCGTCCTGGGCGTTGGGGATACACAGTTAATAAGACAAGATTGCACTTGAGAAGTCCACAATCAGCAGACACGAAAAGGTTGACAGTTGATAGTGGCAGGCACTCAGTGGAGTCCCTAATGATAGAGTAGGCAGTTAGTTAGACATGAGCTGGAGGCAAGGACGTTGATAAATAGGTTACACATTAGAAGCCTGGGGGCACAACATCACACGTTTATGGGGAATCCAAGAACCCAGACCTCCATTCACTCAGCGCAGACTCTCCCACCGGTAACACTAACAACAACAGTAACGATTATAATGGTGGTAAAAACAATAAAAGTTAAGTTCCAGCTGAATGAGGTGTTCTGTGATAGACTTCTGTTAATTTCCCTACCCCAACCACCATACAGTCGTACTATTGATGATCAAGGCATAATTTTCGTTGTTTTTCTCTATTCCACAGTGTTCTGGAAGTTCATCCGGAGCAGAAGAAGCAGTCAAAGAGCTGTACTTCTTGTTGGCCTGTGTGACTCTGGGAAGACATTGCTCTTTGTCAGAGTAAATGTTTTGATTTAAACCTCTTCTAAAGTTGATAGGAAATGTTAGGCCATCCCATTATTCCTGTGAGGTCATAGTTCATTTTGGAAAGGAAGCTGATGCTCACAATTGGGGAGTTAATTCTTCATTCACTTGGAAAGACTTGAAAAACTTGAAAAGGCTCTTGAAAAATTCATAAACTGGAATTTCTTGACCATTTCTATTTTCTTGCACTTGCCAGATACTGACATTTAGTCCTTATCCCATTTAAGGGTTTTATGTAACTACTTTCATGTGGTTGCCAAGGATGCTGAAGAGATAGAAGACAGTGATCTGTATAGGGTGTATAATTCTTGTGTAACAAACTCGTCTGAGAACTTGTCAAAGAAGTTTTTTAAAAGGTTGATTCTTTGACATATTGGGCTACTTAGTCATGTTTTCACTAATATTTAATCTGTTTACTATTTTAAACGATTTTTTGTTACGGAGAGTACCAGAGGTTTTCTTATTATTCCTTTTGAGGGGATAAATTATTTCCTTTCCACTACAGAAAAATAATTTGTAATCATTTGTGATGATTAAAATGTTTATGGAAGTTTGGTGAATTTGGCCACTAACCATTTGAAACTAGGTTTTTTGTTTTTGTTTTTGTTTTTCATTGTGAAGAGGGGAATGAAGATGCAATGAATTAGATTTTTCTACAAGGAAAAAACAATATCGTCCTTTTCAGTTGTTGCAAGCAACATTCATTTATTTGACCTGACCCATTGGAAACTTAGGACAAAATTACTCTCTTTAGGTTTGCTATTTATATATTTATCCTGATCTTCCTCAAATTGTTTTTTTTTTTTTTATAGTTGTTAACTGGCCTTTACAGAGATACTCAGACTTCTATCACCGACAGCTCTGCTGTGTACAGAGTCAACAATACCAGGGTAAGGGGTTTGTAGAATGTTGGGAGTCTGACAATTTTACTTTACTTTGGTGTGTCAGGAAAGGACATTTGTAGGATGAATTAGTCTGAGGGTGTAGGTACCATTCATAGCTTATTTTTATGGATAAATAGAGTCCATGTGACAAATTCTGCTTTCGGCCACCCAAGCAATGTTTTAATCATGCCATCCCCTGTTTTATTGTACTTCATGCACACTGATGTTACATCACATTTTACTAGTTTTTGTTGCTATGTCTTCTCTCCAACTTTACCATGAGTTTTTGAGGGTGAGCATTAAACCTTTTCCTTTATATTTTGAATAGGTAATATATATATATGGGACAAAAATTCAAAAGGTTAAAAAGAATATTCAGTGAAAAGTAATTTTGCCTTTCCTGTCCCTGCTAGGTCTTCTCCTTAGAGGCAATAACTTATTTTCCTGTGGGCCCATCAGATGGTCTCTGCATATGCAAACATATCTGTGTATCTGTTAATTTTTTTTTTAAAGATTTTATTTTTAAGTAATCTCTTCACCCAACATGGGGCTTGATCCCACAACCCCGAGAACAAGAGTCTCATGCTCTGCCAGCTGAACCAGCCAGGCACCCCAATTATTTTCTTTTTAACACTTGGTTCTGCCCACTGTTTTTTGTTTGTTTGTTTTTTAAAGATTTTATTTGACAGAGAGAGACACAGCGAGAGAGGGAACACAAGCAGGGGGAGTGGGAGAGAGAGAAGCAGGCTTCCCGCGGAGCAGGGAGCCCGAT